TTATTTATTTATTTATTTATTTATTTATTTATTTATTTATTTGTTTGTTTATTTATTTATTTATTTATTTATTTATTTGGATTTTTACCCCGCCCCTCTAGACCATGTCTATATTTCATGCTGTACTATCTGTCCCTTAAAAAAAAATTTCCCCCTTATACGCTGCTGCATACACAATCTGATAAGCAGGTATCCAATAGGGCAAAGGAATCTCTGTAGCTCATATTCACACTGGAACCTATTAGGCAGAATTGAGGTGGAAGATGAAGGACTGAAGAGGAGAGGGGCAACCCACTGCACCAGCACTTTCTATTCTGCTGACAAACAGAAACAACAACATATAATGCTTATACTATCAAGCTATGGCTGTAATCCTCTTGCAAAGTTATGCGAAAAATATAGATTTGAAAGACAAATTGTGGTAAGTTAAGAAATTTCCATACTCAACTTGATATGCAACTGATAATGTCTACAGAGATTTCTCAACAATTCAATTTGATGGCAATTCACCGCAAAAAAAGCTGTATCTTTTGCATAAGTGCGCAACAGGATTTCAGCCTATGCAAACTTTGTATCAAAGAAATTGAATACTTGTCAATGGTATGACAGAAAAAGACTTAATGTATAAAACAGAGGTTAAAAGTACCCAAAATAACGTACAGTAGGTCCAAACCACATCAGTGATGGGAAGAACAGTATACTCATTTTAGTTATTGCTTTCTTGCAGACATCTTTTATTCAAAACAAGATCTATACAGCAACAACCAACACTCTTGACTTGCTCCAGGGCCTCCTATCAAAGATTACATTGTTGGGCTCCAATTCAGGAAAGAAAAGTCACAGTAGGAGGCTGCCAGCTGAAAAAAAAATTATGTTCTTCAAAATTCATATTAGTGTGAAGAATTCTGGAACTATCAGTGAATTTGTTCCCAAGCCCTTTCCTGGTTCCTTTCAATTGTATATCATATATTCTGCCCTCAAACTGATAAATACAAATATGTTTCCATGCGGACTAGCATCAAGACTCCTGTGACATCAAGGAGACCTTTCTTTTATATACTCACGAGTAGAACTGGGCATGAATCACTGGTTTGGCAATTCATTGACTGGCCCAACAGTTATTCTGTGGTTCAGACTCCTGCCTCCTCCAGCAGGTGCCTACTCAGAGGCGGCTTCAGGAGGAGGCAGGGCAGGGAAGCCGGGGTGCTGCCTCTGAGTGGGCGCCTGCCAGAGGAGGATAGGAATCGAACCACAGAACACCTGTTGGGACAATAAATGGACTGTGTTGAACCACTGAACCAGCCGTTTGTTCCCATCTCTACTCATGAGAGGTCAGTAAAATGGCAGTTAAACAGAACACATACAGAAAATAGGAATTTTCAGTCCTCAGTAGGCATGAAACCATCACAGATGCAGGGCACTGAAAATAGATTTAAAAAGTGAGTGTAGAGATTATTACAGATTTCTCATTTTTTGTAGAGCAAAATGTTTCAAACGTCCTAACAGTCTCTAATAGCACTACTAGACTTCAGCATTGAGCAAGGGGTTGGACTCAGTGGCCTTATACGCCCCTTCCAACTCGATTAGTCTATGACTGTATGATTTTGTCACCGTTGCTATTGGTGGTTTAGGTATCTGGCAGAGGTTGAGAGTTTGATTCCCCACAGTGCCACATTGGATCCCTTCAAGTTCTGCAATTCTAAGATGATGATGATGATGATGATGATGATGATGATGATGATGATGATGATGATGATGATGATGATGACCACCTGTACCCCCCTTTTCTTCCCTTTCTTCTGAAATCACATTTTCTTCTGAAATTATGGTTTAGCATAATCTCAAGAGATTTCAAGAAGGGGGGCTGGATTGCATGACTTATAATCATAAACAAATACCTAATATTTGCAGTATTTACAGGGAGAAATATGAGTAAATTTTATCTAATATCAACTTGCCTTCAAACTGTAAATGATTGTTATCCATCTAGGCCCAGTGAATTATTAACACTTGACCAATTCCAGGGTTTAAAAAAAGTAACAAAAATAATAATAAGTTTATTGGCAGTTCAAACCCTCATCAGGCAAAGTCAATTTAAGAAAATAAATTAATTCAAATTTCTCTACAGTGGCTCTATTTTTGGAAGTTCACACATTATACCTAAGTTTTAAAAGCTTGTTCAGGATGAGGAGGAGGAGCTTAGTCATGTCTTCGTATGTCCAATGGCCATTCCTATGGAATATGGATTATATTCCCTGCCAAAGGAAATATCTGTCCCCCATTTTTCCAGCAAGAAAAACATTCCTCTAGCCAGGAGTGAGAGGAGCACATCTGCAAGCCAAAAAAAGGCTGGGCAGATTCAATTTAGGCTTTGTGGGCAGGAAAAATTTCTTCAAAACCACACATTTTATAAATGGAGCAAATCCCAAAATATTTGATAGTGTAGTTGGGCTCTTGGTTTGTCTTTTGGATAGTTGATAACTGAGTGATGATCACTTTGGAGAAAAGTATAGTTTTCTACCCTCTCCCAGGCAACTTAGATAATCACCTGGCAGATATGCTTTGACTGTATTCCTGCATTAAGCAGGGGGTTGGACTTTATGACCTTGTAGGCCCCTTCCAACTTCACTTTTCTATAATTCTATGATTCTATGAAGAGTTGTTAAGGTTACTGTGAGGGTCACTGCTATTTCCTGGTGGCAGTGAATTATCCTGTTCTTTATGAGGATTTGGACTTACATTTTAGTTTCTTTTAAAAGGCTAGTGCATCAAACTGTATTTATAAAAGCCTGTCTATTGCACTAGCCTTAGTGTAAAAACATATTAAAGAGTAATATTTAAATGAGTCAGTTTTGAAAAAGAGCTTAAAGATGCCAGTTTGAAGAAGAAATAGTTCTGAGACTATGATGCTCAGGCTTCAGCACTATTGGCTGGAAAAGAGTTTCACCAAATTATCTGTGTATTTTTCTCCAATAAATCTTCATTATAACAAATTGAGAACTGTACTGATAAGAAAAAATAATGGAATGTTCATCTACTTTCGCAACAATACATTGTAATTTAATCAGTCTTATTTAATGTATGTTTTGGATTCAATGAGCTGCTACAAAACATCAGTATCTTAAAGTAGGCCAAACATGGAAGGAATGATTCATATGAGGCAAAAGGAAAGAGGGGATGTAAAAAAGAGAAATCAGTAAAGGGGGGAATATCAAATCCGAAAGAAAAGGAAAAAGTAAAGTAACCACTATGTGTTTATGTATTTAAGAAAACTTGAAGACTCTTGCTATACAGTACCACTTAATTATGCCCTTATTTTTATTTAACTCCTTTGCTGCACAACTGCAATATTGGTCAATATAATCAAAGGCAATTCTCTCTCTCTCTAGTTCCTCTCAGAATGTGAAATCTTCAAGTAGTCATAAAGGAAACAGAAGAATATAAATTTTAAACTGTTTAGGAAAACAACCACAGAGTGAAAACAAATTGGTTTACTATTAGAATTATACAAATATAATGTTATGACAGTGTGCTGCCAAGTCAATTCTGACTTACGATGACACTTTCTCAGGGTTCTCTAAGTAGACAGTACTCAGAAGTTGTTGACCATCCTTTTCTTTGTGGCATGGGGGGGGGAGAGGGACATACAGTGGGGTCTCTACTTAAGAACTTAATCCGTATTGGAAGGTGGTTCTCAAGTTGAAAAGTTCTTATGTTGAATCTGCATTTCCCATAGGAATGCATTGAAAACCATTTAATCCGTATCTGCTCTTTTCCGTCCATGTTACAGTGGAACCTCTACTTAAGAACTTAATCCATTTTGGAATGGTGTTCTTAAGTTGAAACGTTCTTAAGTTGAAGCAAAATTTCCCATAGGAATGGACTGAAAACCAATTAATCCGTTCTGGCTGTTTTTTTGTTATGTAGAGGTGCGTTCGTACATTGAAGCATTAGTTCCCATAGGAACTAATGCAAAGCTGGTTAATACGTACTCTACCACTAGGGGGAGAATTTTTTTAAAACCTAAGATGACCTAAGGTTAAAAAAAGAGCAGGAAAGGTTTTTTTTCCTGTTCTTATCTTGGATTTCTGTTCTCAAGTAGAAGCAAAATTTAGCAAATGGAGCTGTTCTTAAGTTGGATTGTTCTTAAGTAGAGACGTTCTTAAGTAGAGACCCCACTGTACATCACACGGTATCTTCCTACAACTCTGGGCGGAGACCAATCAGTCCTCCCTTGTGGTCCAAACAAGCATGTGTGCATGCATATTTTTGTGTATCTGTATGCTGAGATAGGGAGGGACAGAGAGTGATATGAATGAATGAATGAATGAATGAATGAATGAATGAATGAATGAATGAATGAATGAATGAATGAATGAATGAGAGGGAGAAATTCCAGGTGCTTCACATCATGGTATACAAGGAAAGGAAAAGACTGAACAATGAGGAAGAAGAGAAAAACAAGTGAGAAAAGGAGTGGATGGCATGGTTACAATTTGGCATTGTTGACTGAGTTTTACTTGAATTTTAGCCATATCACTTGGCATCTGCTGAGCTGGCCTGCTCTTCCAGTTCTCATTTTTAAATGTTCATTTCAAATCCACAGATGCACATGTGTCATGCCACTTAAACTGCCATGGCCCCATTATTAGGTATTCTGGGATTTGTAATGTGGTGAAGTTAGAGTAGGTACTATGAGAGTAGAGGAAGTGAGGATTATGGTATTAGTATAGTAACGTACTCAGGGTAAGTACAGATTCAAGGAATGGACTATGGGTCTTTTGGAGAGAGCTTTAAGTATTCCGCACAGTGCAAATTCAAGGATTCCTTATGATTCCTTAAGATATAGTTCTGTAGCGTAGCTACACCTGACATCATTAGCGTTTGTAGTAGTCAAGATATGAGCCAAAATATCCAGCTACTATTCTCTCCAGTTGTTTTGAAAATAACAAATCTATTAGGGCTGCTGGTGCTATCTTTCAGTTTGGCCAATGGGTGAAATTTCTGTTGTGCTTGACATCATATTTTTGGACCAGCGAGCTTGAAACTGCTTGAAAAACTAATCACACTGCATGTGCATGCACAGCAGCCATGATAAAAGCCACTGTTTCTGAACATTCACATCTCATCTTTACACAGAAGATCAGATAATATGAGACATGGCCTTTGAACATTTGCTCTCATATTATTTGATATGAAAATGAAGAAGAGTCTGCTTTTGTTGTGGGATAACCAACGGCATATTCTCTCATGACTTCTCCGCTATAGGGCATGTTCCTCATAATCACGTCTCTCTCCTTAACCTTATAGAAGCCAAAGACACTAGACCAGACCAAGCACTTTAAAGACACATGCAGCCTGGCTCCTTCAAGAAGACAGAGGATGATGCAAAATAGACCTTGCTTGTCTCCAGAAGGCAAGCATCAATCTTCCTATTATATTTAACAAGGGAAAATTCCCATGCAGTTCTAGTCCATTGACCACTCTCTAGAGTACCAATCTAAATTGCTTGAATGTGAATGCAGCATGCTGCACTCTTGCAAACCTGACTATTACCTGTTATGGCTCTGCTTCCCAGATGTGCCTTTGCCTGCTGTGACCATATTCTGCTATGGCACTTTACCTAATGAATGCATAACAAGACTCTATATACAGATCCTTCCCTTCAGGAAGTCCAGTCATGCTTGTTATAATCTCCAGTTCACCATGGAACAGGATAATACACACCATACCTGCATTTTATATTCCATGAAATCTTAAAATATTCCCACAATATCACAAGTGGTAGAACTGTCCCCAAATGCATATGACTAAAAAAATTAAAATGATGGATTTTACACAGCAGAGTTGTTGGTTACATATACAAGTGGGCAGACTAAATCCAAGGCAAGCAATAGCAGTACTAAATGGGAAAAAGAAATAGAGAACATGTCCTTCAAAGAAAGGAAATGAAAACAATGGAATGGCAGAGCATTTTTAGCTGAAATCCTGTTGCTTAGTTATGCATTTGAAGGCACATTACACAATGTTAAGCCACTTCTGTTGCTGCTCTTAAGTGCTGCTGTCAAGTCACATCTGATTTACAGCAATCCCAGTAAGGTTTTCAAGGTTTTTGAGATATCAAAGAAGTGATTTTACCAGCACAACCTGCCAGTGAGTTTCCATGGCTGAGAATGGATTTGAACACAGATCTCCTGAGTCCTTGTTTGCCACTTTATCCACTACAAACCCACTGGCTTAGTCACTTATATCTAGCAACTGATGCGTTTCCCCTGGGATTCTTGGGAACAACCCTTCCCATTGACTTAGCATCCACTTGACATCCCAGTTGGGGACTCATTAAATGCTAGCTAGAAGATACCACGTTACATCGTTTGCCTTCTGCAAACTAAGAAACAGGAGTATGGCCATTATAAGAAAAGGAAGAAACTTTTAAGACACTTTCCCTGCATTAGACCTGTGTTTTGAAGAACAGCTTTATCTGAAATCAGTACAGCCTAATCCATAAGAATGAAAAACAAACTCAATACAACACATCAGTGATGTAAGAGCATTTTTTAAAAACATCTAGCTTAAGCTACATTTATTTCTTCCCAATAACCCCTCCTCCAAGCCTAGTAGGTAAACATAGCAACATATGGCATGCTGGGATCAATTGTTCATTTTCAGCAGCTCAGGATCCCTCTGTCCCTGAAGTGTGAATCTGCACAGTTGTCAGCAATGTTGCGTGTCCTCTCACATGCCCTTTCAGTTTCGGCACCAAACTGCCTAGCCTTAAGTACTGGAAAGAAAACTCAGCTGGGGTTGCTACAGTTTGGAACTGTGTCCAAATTAAAAAAAAAAAAAAGGAAAATCCATTTTAAAATTAATTTTATGTTTCAGGCAATACCGGAGAGAGATGAGGATGGACTGTGCTGGAAAACCAGCTGCCTCTGGTTCCTCATCTCCCTTAACTGTCATCTAGCAGCCCCATTCCAAGGACCTAGCAGAACTGTTTCAATCCCAGCTGGTTGTTAAAGGAATTTCCAAAGGGAGAGCTGCAGTTGTCTGCTCCACTGAAAATAACACAGAGAACTGTGGCACCATGGAGGCTAACTTTAACGGAACACACTTTCATGGATTATAGCTCACTTCGTGAGATGTGTAGGCTTCAGTCGACAAAAGCATATGCCATAATAAATTCATTCTACTGTAACGTGCCGCAGTACAGTTTGTGATAAAAGTATACTTTTGAGGAACTACAGTTTGGATTTTGACCTAACCCTTTCCATCTGTAATGCCTGAATAAAGCTCAGGATACATAATTATATGGAATGGCCTTATTTCATTCCACTCCTGTTGCATTTCTTCTTATACTGCCATGCACCTATTCTTAAAAACTTAAAATAGCAGATTACATGAGTGAAGACATGAACAACACAGTACATGAAGAAAAATAATTTGCTACTTTTAATAAAAGTGTTTGGTTCACATTTAAAGTCAAGTAAAATATTAATGAAACAAATTATAAGTTAAGGAGACTTACACTTGAAGGACAGTTCTAGGGTCACCCACTTCTCCTCCATCACCAATTGTTAGAGTATCGTAGCCAATTTCCAGATCAAATTCTTCAAAATTAATCTGAATAACCTGGCAGGGAAAAACAAAACAAAGTACTAAGAGCCACTACGTTGATCTTCGCTTATGAACAATATCATACAAACGCAGGGGGTCCATATATGGCTCACTGTTATTTAGGAAAAAATGTTTCCCCATTTCTCATACTTCATTTATATGCACACGTCTTTTGTCCATGGGGGAAGCCCAGAAATATGGGGCAATAGTTTACTTCCATCAACATGATGTTTATGGCAGGATAATCCATTCCCTGAGGCGAATGCACCAATCTAAATGTAGAGATGTTCCCTTTTTAATAACTTTAGTTAAATGAAAGTGCCAGTAAGAAGAATTGTATACACATCTATTATTGAAGCGATGACATTTCTGCTTCTAATTCTTTCATGTACACAGATGCATGCACACAGACATACTTATACAGAATTTATACTAACAGAGTTTAAAAACAACAAGAAGAAAATGCATCTGAGATTTAAATCATAAAGACAAAATAGCTGAAATCCAGTAGCAATTCACAACTAGAGTTAGGCCCATTGACTCAAAGGAGGTTTTGGAGGAGTTAACTCATCTCAATAGACCTACTCTAGTTGTGCCTTACTATAGAATTTCAGCTCAAAAATGACAGCAGATACAATATGATATAAAATAATGGCAACTAGTTGAATAATTAAATTGTGCAATTATTTGCAATAAACAAAGCAACTTCATACCCAGTTTGTGAGGCAAATGTATGACAGAGGATGTCTTGTACATAGGTCCACATAATTTTAAAATAAAATTATCTTACGAATGCTTTAGGTTTAGAGACTAGGCTGTGTATAAGGAAAACATTTGGGTTTTACTTGTTCCAGGTTCTTTCAAGGCATGCCTCATTCATTTTGGGACCATTCAGGTACCGATTCTTTCAGTAAACATGAAAGGGATGAGTGCTTTTGGGTTCCTTCATTTAGTTCCCCCCCCAATCTGTGTATTCAACACTAGATCAAATAAAGTGCTACAGTACCCTCCTTTTTAAATGGCGTTAAGAGCAGGGTGAGAGGTACATTTAAACCTCCCCTATGCCAGTGCTGCTGGCTCAAGTTCCCTATGTGTCTACTCCAGAGCAAATCAGAAACATCAAGGTCCGCCATAGATTCTGAGGTAAGCCATGTACACAGAGCATCATTTCAGAGGATCTCTAAGATAAGGCAGTCTATCCTGGACACGTCCAGCAGCCTGTTGCTCCTCCTACAGAACTTGCTGCTTCTTTTTCTCCATTGCTGTCCTATGTATTCACTTGCTCCTGGCCAGATAAAAGAAAAAGGATGAGATGGGTTGCTCGAGAGGAAAAACAGACTCCCAGTTATTCCCGTTCTGTTGCCTCTTTAAAGTTCCTCACTTAAATTCTTTTCTGCTAGATATGCCTCTCTGCATTTGGATTTATGCACATGTCTGGGGCTGTACCTGAGTGAGTGGGTGAACAGCTGTCCAGGCACTATTTTCTGGAAATTTGAGAAAAGGTAGGACAAAAGGATAAACCATCTAAGTTTGCAGAGTGCAAATATTTGCTGCACCGGCCAGCACTCTTGTTCCAAAAGAGTAACGAGTAACAGACAGGCATTAAATCTAGTTCCAATGAAAAAGCAGTTAATTACATGGCTGTTGCTGGCAAATAAATAAATAAATCTCATTCCAGCTCACTGATTCAGAAAGTAGCTTGTCACTACTGTGTCTGAAACCAAGTGTAAACAACATCAGGTTGGACCGAGCCATGCTTAGTGAATTTCTATCGAACTTGAAGGGAGTAATGTATCAATGTGGCAACCCCAGACCTACTGGAGTATCCCACCCTGTAATTATGCTGCCACCAACCATTCCCTATAAGGAGTCACACAGACCAGGAATGGATTTTAACAAACAAAAGAACAAGGTTTATTGAAACAACAAACAGGGTAAATAAAAGGATCAGGTAAATAGGATATTGGAACGTGGCATAGTCCCAATCGTACACATACAACAGATTGGTTCCCACGGAACACTTTAAGGTAACGCACAGACCCTGAACCTATCAGTTCTGGCTACCTAGATAGAAACCTGAACCTATCAGGTATGTACTAACTGACAAACAGTTGTACCCAGTCTGACACACAGACTCCAACTCTACTTCTCCACACAAGCTCCAAATATATATACAGTACAGCTCCTCCCCCCTGATGTCCCGCCTTCCACTCCCCATAGGATGGAACTTTCCCTCCAAACCCATGACAGACAGGTACCATCAGTGCTGTATGTGACAGACAGCTACCTGTCCTCTGTTTTTTTTCATGACTGGGGACTCTCTAGAACAGTGTGAAAGTCGCTTCAGCATCTGGGTGGTTTGTGTTTTTTGTTTTGAGTTTTTTGTTTTTGTTTTTGTTTTTTTGGTGGGACAACTTGCAGCAAGGGAAATAGGTTTCCCTTAGGGACACTGCGATGCTCACCATGGTAAGCAATCTGCAAGGATTCTCTGATCCTCATTCATTCAGCACAGGTCACCAAATATTTGCTGCACCGGCCAGCACTCTTGTTCCAAAAGAGTAACGAGTAACAGACAGGCATTAAATCTAGTTCCAATGAAAAAGCAGTTAATTACATGGCTGTTGCTGGCAAATAAATAAATAAATCTCATTCCAGCTCACTGATTCAGAAAGTAGCTTGTCACTACTGTGTCTGAAACCAAGTGTAAACAACATCAGGTTAGACCGAGCCATGCTTAGTGAATTTCTATCGAACTTGGAGGGAGTAATGTGACAGCTACCTGTCCTCTGGTTTTTTTCATGACTGGGGACTCTCTAGAACAGTGTGAAAGTCGCTTCAGCATCTGGGTGGTTTGTGTTTTTTGTTTTGAGTGTTTTTTTTTTTTTTTGGGTGGGACAACTTGCAGTGCTAATTGCAGCCAATTTGGATGCAGAAAGGTTAAAGGGGAAAAAAAGGGGATGCAAAGTTGTCGTTGTCCAATACACCTTGTACTTCTCATCCTTTGTGAAACAGGAAAGGGGAGTCATAGAAAATTGCCATCCAACTCTGTGCACTTATTTTTCCAGGAAAACGTCTGCTGGATATGTATACCCACCACAAGACCTTCCATTAATTGATCAGCAAATAGGATAGTAAATATGTTCAGATCAGATTAGGCATCCTTCAGTCTCGAGAGACTATGGTAACGTGCTCTGTATGGAGGACTTGGAACAGTGTCTAGTGTGGCTGAGAAGGCCAATTCAAGAGTGACAAACCCTTCCACACTGAAGACAAATACAATCTGTCCCTGTCCAGCCCCCTGATTTTGCTGGTTTCAGGACTGCCTCTTTGCCTCGGCCTGCTGGACAAGGGTCTCTTCAAATTGGCGGAGGCCATGATGCACCGCCTGCCTCCCGGCTGAATGCTCCAGTGTTTCCCATCTGTTGAGGTCCATTCCTAAGGACTTCAGATCCCACGTGCCGATATCCTTGTATTGCAGCTGTGGTCTCCCTCTGGGGCGATTTCCCTGCACTAATTCTCCATACAGGAGATCTTTTGGAATCCGACCATCAGCCATTTTACAGCATTGGTAAAACAATCATTTTTAAGTGTTTCTCTAAGTGTGACATTTTCTTTTTATCTTTTCCCCCCAGTTCTAGTTCAAACACAAATCTCCAGGCATAAAGCGTCATATCATGTTCTGAATCACAGTATCCAATTACTGCTTCAAGATACTGAGAAGTAACACAATTAGTAATGATTTATTTTTCATAATTATCTAATACTATGCTGTGCCTGAAAATCAATAAGAATTATCTGAAACAAAACAAAATTGAACATGCATGATCAACTGCCACCTTCGTTCAAAACACTGAGTAGCAAAAATGTTTTATCTGTAGAGCTGCACAGTGAAAACTGCCTTACGTATACAAACTTTGCAACAGGTACAGCAAAAATTAAGATCACGCTGCCAATTTAAGAGGTTTTCTTTCTCTGGTAGTAAAATATTTCATTGTGTGCAATTCAGCAGGGGAGACTTGGAAAGGAAATGAACCAGTAGAACGTTAGCCCTTTTCAATTACCAGTTTCAGAAAATATTTCTGATGAAAGTCTGGAAGAGGTGAGGTGAAATCTGTAGGCATGATGCCATCTCTCCCATTTATATGTTCATGTCCAATAATATATCACGCAAGTAAGATTTGTTTGTCTGTGAAATCAGGAAACAGAACAGTTCTTCTTATAAAGCACTTTATATTTTATACATTGTAAGAAGATGCTTCTGCCATTCACAAGTGGGCCTTTTGCTTCATCCTCAGCAACTTTGGCAGACTCTCGAGAGACCTTGGTTGCAGAGCAGCTCAAAGGCAAAGATGCCAAGTGGTGGCACATGGGCAGGCGGGCAAGATGAAGGAACATTGTCCCTGAGAGGAGGACGAGAGGGAGGCAGTATGGCTAGTTCGGAGGTGGAGAGAACGAAAGAGGAGGAATAGATAGAAGTGCTAGATGAGCAGACACTCATTTTCTGCATCCTAGGGGAGATAAAGGATCCCTTAACCTTCCCTGGACCTGAAGGGATCCTCTTCTTCCCTTAGGACTGAGGCATGGACCAACTTTACCTACGACTAGGACCTTGTGAGCCAGACATTCCATCCCACTGTGTCAAGACTGGAAGGATAGCAAAACAAGACTGCTCTACTGGGTTGCCCAACCACTCTTCAACTGGGTTGCTCACTATAAACACAGAAGTGGTGCTAGAAACTCAAACTCAGTCCCAGCAGTGGACCTTAGGTCCAATGATGGTAACCAGTGCACAGGCTAATGGACTGCTGGAAACCAAGGATGGGACAGGGACCAAGCAATGTGCTAGGGCACTTGTTACTGAAATAAAGTTTGCATCACCTAATTACCAGCCTGTTGAGTCAATACTGCTCAGAGTGGAGTATGGAGGGGTGGTACGGGTCATACATGCATGTTAGAATTTTTTGTCAATGTGCAACTGTGCAATTTCTTTTCTATTCTCTAGATCAGTGATCCCT